TGCTTCTGTGAGTTTGACATTTTAAGATTCTACACATATGTGAGACCATGCAGTATTTGTCTTTCTGCGTCTGGTTTGCTTTACTTCATGTCCTCTAGGTTAATCCATGCTGTTGCAAATGACAGGATTTCCTTATTGTTTAAGGTTGACTGGATTCCCCTGTAAATATGCACCGCATTGTCTTTATCCATTCATCCTTTGATGGACACTTAGTTTGTTCTCACATCTTGGGTATTGTGATTAGTGTTGCAATAAACGTGAGAGCGCAGAGATCTCCTTGACACATTGATTTCCTTTCCTTTGTATATATATCCAGCAGTGGAATTGCTGGATCATAAGGTAGTTCCTCTTTTAATATTTTGAGGAACTTCCATACTGTTTTTCATAATGGCTGTACTAATTTACATTCCCACCAAAAGTGTGCAAGGGTTTTCTTTTCTCCACATCCTTGCCAGCACTTGTTATCTTTTGACTCTTTGATGATAGCCATCCCAACAGGTGTGAGATGATATCTTACTGTGTTTTTAATTTCCTGAAAATTGCTAAGAGAGATTTTAAGTGTTGTTGCCAGAAGAGATTACGTGTATGTGAGAGAATGTATACATTAATTAGCTTAATCATTCCACAATGTATACATACTTCAAAACATAATTTTGTACACTATAAATATATACAATTTTTATTTGCCCATTGAAATAAATTAATTTTAAACAATTAATGACCTTGGATGCAGCCAACTCTTGCCTCTTCCTTGAAAGTGGGTATCTCCTTAAGTGTTTCTCTTAAATTTTGCTCCCAGAGGATAAAGAACGTTCTAGAATAGCAACCAGGGCCATGTAATGACAGGTCTTTTATCAAGCAGATCTCAAATGGTATCATGTTTTATTTCACAAACCTCAGAATGTTTTCAAATAACCCAATTTCAATATGTATGCTTAAAGAAATGAATACATCCTCATTAAGAAAATATATTATCAGGGAGGCTGAGATGGCCAAATTGCTTGAGCTCAGGAGTCTGAGGCCAGCCTAGACAACATGGTGAAACCCCATCTCTACAAAAAATTTAAAAAATTAGCTAGGCATGGTGGCAGGCACCTGTAGTCCAAGCTACTCCAAAGGCTGAAGTAGGAGGGTCACTTGGGCCCAGGAGTTTAAGGCTACAGTGAGCTGTGGTCAAGCCAGTGCACTCTAGCCTGGGTGACAGAGACCCTATATCAAAAAAAAAAAGGGCATACATATATATATATATATATTATGTATATGTATATTATATATATGTGTATATATTTATATATACACATGTATAATATATAAATATGTATGTATATATAAAAACATATATGTGTATGTATATAAAATATATATGTGTGTGTGCATATTTTTAAAAAGGTATAGGTATAAAAGTATTGGTAATTATTGGTAATTCATTTACCAGAACATTCAAAAAAAAAAAAAAAAAAAAAAAAAAAACACTTTCCCCATAAGATTGGGTCTTAGATTCAACAAAACAGGTTTATTTGCATATGTCCAAAGTAAGATGGTTCAGATTTTTCTGCTTTGTAGCAATTTGCTTTTACCCATCCAGATGTTTTTCTTTCTAAGCTTGGGTTTAAGCATCATACGTAGTTTTCTTCTGGTGACTATTATCAATTGGTGCCACTTCAGAAGGAGCAGCACAAGTTCTCAAGCTGGACAATGTATCCCATAAAATTATTCCAAGAGCCAAATCTTGGCATCTCACAGGAAAATTTCTTGAAGATCAATAAGAATCTGGAATAAGATTAATATAAGAATAAGAACCTCTGATGCTTACGGGAATCTTCACCTTCACTCTAGTTTAAGGTGTATCTGGGAGATGGAAAGATACTTAAGAAATTGCTTAAGCTATGAAGAAGCAAGTTGTCATCAAGTCCTACCTGACTGAAAAAGAATAAATCCATAAAAGGAATGTAGGGTAATCTGCGGTGTTCCACAATCTGGTCTAATTTTGTGTCAGTGGATCACCAACCAAAAATGTGTTCTCTGGAATTCAGAGCACATATGCTCTTCCCTTCTAAAACGTGAGAAAGTCTGAAAAGTGTCATGTAAATAAACACCTAAGGCAGAAAAAAAAGAGAAGGCAGAAAGAAGGAAAGAGGAAGGATGAAAGAAGAAACGGAGAAATGAGAAAAAGTAGGAGAGAGTGCATAAGGAAAACAATGTTTTCTAAAGTATAAATTTGGGGAAAACCCAGCTGAATTCACATGCTTTATACTGTCAGAAAGTAAAAACACTCCCTCCCAACATACTCTCTCTTCTCTTTCAGCGACAGAAATGAACAGGAACAACCGCATGACAGGAGTGCTGAGCTCTGCTAAATGTAGGTGTCTTAAAATGCAGCATCTGTCTGCTTCCCTGGGATAATGTTCATTTTATTTCAATCATGTGGCATTGAGTATCTAACATTGTTTTCCTATGTATAATCAGCCATAATTTCCTTTTGGAATTAGGTAAGGGGCAATGTTTTTCTTCAATAGCCATTTGCTCACTTTTGGAGAACTGAGCAAGGGAGTCGCTAGGATACCTTTCGGGGTTTCAAGACTCTGTCCTAGAACTTGCAAATCGACAAAACACACGGTGATCTTTCCTTCCATCTGTCTATCCCTCCATCCATCCTGCCGGCCAGCTAACAGAAACTAAATGAGTTCCTCCCAAGTGCCTGGTCCTGCCATAGGAGCTGGCAATAAACGTGAACAAAAGAGATAAAACCCTCATCTCAAAAACATTGACATCCAAGGAGTTTAAACAGACATTTACATAATTATACAAATAAATATGTAATTAAAAACTGCAATGAACGACATGAAGGAACATGACAAGAGGGCATAGAATCCTGTAACAGAAGGACTTGATTGAGAATGTTAACATTTTCTCAGAAAAACAAAACAAGCAACACAGGCATCTTGATTTTTGTAGAAGTAGAAAAATTTGTCGATTTTTGCCTATAGCCGTTAAAATACTTAAGCAAAACTTCATATTATGTTATCTGGGCTCAAAAAAATTCTTGGGACTTTGCTTTTAATACTGTTGGTGTCAAAAATACTTCAAAAATGAACAGCAAAGAATGCCTATTTATAACGGTTTAGTGTGCTACTTTCAAATAAACTAGAAGGTTTTAAGAGGAATAGAAATGAAAAATCCAAAAGCGGTAGACCTTGTCTTGACAGAGCCACAGCCCTGGACCAGAAGTCAGAAGTTTCTAGTCTCATCAATCATGCCCTAGCTGTGCTACCACGGCCAAGTGATGTAATCTCTCTTGGGCTGAGTTTCCTCATCTCTGAAATAACTGCTATGCCCGCCTATGAGGTTCTTCTCAGGAGCATCTGAGTAAGTACTTTGTGATCACTAGCATAGAAAACATAGTACAAAAAGTGGGCATATAAAGTATCAAAAAATAATAATGCAAAGCTGAATCACCCTTCAGAGAGGAATTAGGATTGGCCATCCCAGAAGACTTCATTAGCTATTTGGAAAATATCATTGTGTATCTATCTTTAAATTGCTGCCAATAATCCCAGGCAAAAACTCATGCCAATATTCTCAGAGCCAATTACTTAGCACGTCACACTTGGTACTCTGAAAAAACAAACAAACAAAAAAACTAGCAAATGCTTCCTGCAATAAATAAACGTGTGCACTTAGGATTCAACTTAACTTGTACTCAGTGAGGAAAAGGGCACTGTTGAAATACATGCTGGCTGTTTTTTTCTCTTTTTTTTTTTTCTTTTTCTTCTTTTTAAATATATATTCAAGGACAACAGAGAAACTGAAATTGGGAAAAGTTTGACCTGAGAGAACTGCCATTTCAATCAGAGGAGTTAGGTTATAATTTTCGCTTGAATTCATCTCTTTATAACAGGCACCTATACTTTTACTTTGGAAGCCTTCATATTTGTCATTGATTCCATGAAGGGCATTGCTCAAAAAACACAGGCTCCATGGTCACCTGTCTTCCTTGTTTAATAGGGCTATTCTGAGATGTCACAGCCTGGAGGAGACATTCTTTAACCAGTCCCATCAGAAAAAAAATGACTCAGTGTTTACCTTCCAGGATTTCAGTATAGGTTCTTCAAAGACATACATGAGATTTTTGTAAATAGCAATCATCTGCAACGTGTTCTGGAAGACTCTGCACTGAAACAAACCCACCTTACTAAAGAACTATTTCAACTGTTGCCACGTCACCATCTCAGGGGCATGGAGAAACTAAAAACAAATTGAGCATTTAGAAAATAAAACTAGATTTTTAAACACAATCAAGGAATAGGTTATTTATGACACGGTTTAAAAATATTTTTGATACAACTACTTGATCTAATTTGTTCTTCATGTTTTTATTGCTTGAAAGAGGACAGACACATAAAGTATGAAACTCCTCAGCTTTATTAATGCAAACATATTTTTATTAAAGAATGAATGCATTTATGCTAAAGAATAGCTTACATATGTTGTAAAGCAACAAGCATATCTTCAAGAAGTGAGTCCTCTTCAATATGACTCCATGCTTATTCTACATGCCTGAAAACTGGGCCCACACACAGGGGCACACGTACACGCACACGAACGCAGATACGGACACACAGATACGCAGACTGAAATGCTGACACCATCACTCTCTAGATTGGATTAGCTCTCATTTAAGGCTTCTTAGGTGCTGCAGTGCCCCTAATATTACCAGGATTGAAAAGAGACGTTTAGGAAGGAGCAGCATGACTTGGAAAAGTAGTCATCTGCTCTTGGCCTCCAATGTATGTATTTTAACAAATACTTACAATTTCATTCTATGTTGACTCTGTGTTTTTAATGTTTAAAGAACCATGAAACTGAGAAATCTCAGGATTTTTTTTTAGCGAGAACTTCTCATTCAAAATTTTAAAAAATGGGCAATTCTGACCCTAAGATATCATCGATTTTATGATAATGCAATAAGATTTCCCTTTAGGTTAAGATGATGTGGGTTCTCTAGACAAGCCAAGATTATCTCATTCTCTATCTAAGTGCGATGCTGAGTGATGGAAGCGAGGCTTCCGTGGTGATACCAAATTGGATTTGAAGCTTGCCATCAAGGATGCATGGGACAGGACCATTCATTAAATAAGTTACCATAAATCTCAGCTGGATAAAAGGAGAGCTGACATAGAGTGTGTTCACTTGTTGGTCACTCATTACCCTTTGCCAAGGCTTCTGTTGTTGGGGTTGTTGTTCTAAACTCCTGGTTTGTTTGACTGTTTATTTCATTTGCTTGATTGTTTTCTTCCTTTTGGTGTCCTGCAATGTATGTTGAGATTCCATCCCTCTAGGGATGTGAGAAGGGGAAAGAGGGTGGATAGGGCAGGAGGAGGGAAAGGGAAGGGGCCATTAGTAATTGCAAGTATTCTAAGAAAATAGATGAAGTGAATACAATAAGAGGGTACTACTTGGTATATTTATGTAAATAAAAGCATTATCTGTAACTGTGAATTAACTGCCAACTATCAGGTTGTTAGTTGTAAAGCTCAATAAAGGCTGTGCTGATTTGCATACAGAGGAGGGCATCTGCCCTGGGAGAGGAACAGAGATATTCCTTCCTCCCTGTGGCCAGCGTCCCCATCAGCACCCTGCCCATCCCACTGGAGATCCCATAGGTGCCCCTAACATTCTTGTGGAATTTCATAAGGCAGACTGGAATGGCCCATCCAATAACAGCTGCAGAGTATTTGCCTGAGAGTGGTGAAAACTGGCATGGAGCTCTCCCACAGAGAGGCATTGGGAAATGAGAAAAACAAGAAGAGAGTCTAGAACCTTCCTCCCCATCCACACTCCCACCCTCCTCACAGTCACAGCAGCAGCAGGTTTCAATGTAACGTAATTACTTTAATGATACATTTCTTTAGATTTAGAATTGCTCTTCTGAATTTAAAAAGCTTGGTCAGCCAATAGTTTGGCAGTCTTTTCATCCCGAATTTGAAACGTTGCTTACTCATCGATTCCCTTGAACTCCGTGACCAATGCTGCCTTTGCTGAAGCGTCTCAAGTTCATTCAGCCGTCATCGGATTCCAATTCCTGGGAAACCTCTTCGGAGGAGCTGTTGCTGTGGATCCGCCCGTCACTCTTCATACTGTGGAAAGTCTTCCTGAAGGCCTCCATCATGGCGTGGGCCAGTTTCTTGGCCTCGAGCTTGCTCTCGCACTCCACGGCGTGGCAGTCCATCTGGTAGGACAGGTCGTCATTGATCTCCCTGTACACCCAGGCGAAGATGTTGGGGCTCACGTTGTGGTCGGCGGTGCAGTAGGCGATGCGGGCCACCTGGAAGGTATCCATGTGCACTGTGGCCTCCCCTTTGTGGTCGAGGTGATGGAGCCACACTTGGAATGGCCGGATTTCCAGGAGGGCATTGGCTGGAAAGACATCCTCTCGGGCTAGCGTGTGCTTCTTCCAGAGCTCAATGACCGGCTTTTCTGTGCAGCCTGACAAAAATTGCATGCCAGTGGTGGAGACTTTGCCCAGGTAGGTAACCTGCAGATGCAAGAGAGGAAGAAAATGGAGGCATCAGCAGAAGGCTCTTTGTTCTGATAGACTGAGTGAGTAGGTGTTTCACACAGTCACGGTGTCACAGTGGGAAGGTGAACACACTTCTTTCTTGCTCCCTGAAAGAATAACTCATCAGAATTTCTATCTTTTCTAACAAGTTGCCTACTTGGCAAATGTATTGAAATTATTTGAATAGAGCTGGATTTTAAAATCTAATTTCTAGAGAACTACTCTCCCTCTCCTTACTCCTTTTTTAAACCCCAATTAAAATGAAGAGTGTGATCTTTTACATAACTTGTCATTTCTTTAACATCATAAAGTCACTCAAAATTTATTTTCAGCCAAACGCACACATAATTGAATAATATGAAGGAATCAAAAGGACACTGCGTTGCAAAAACAAAATCTTTATTTAACTTATCTCCTAGCCTGGGTCTCTTTCCAAATCTCTCAATGTTTGATTTCACTTAGGCTGCCTGCTTCTAATGCCAAGGACGCAAAAACTGTTCTCTTGAAATTATGGCCTAAAGCATGATAGTTTTCCTTCCCAAGATAATTTTTAAAAGTAACAGCAGTGCCCAGTTGTTTTTTAACCTAAACTGTTTTTGAACTGATGAGCATCTGGTGATCTGATAATCAACGAAAGATGTACAGATGAATTAAGAGTAGAATGCTGGCTTATCACTTAGCTAGATGGCAGTGTGAAAACTAAGAAGAATAATTCCAAAAGATTCAAATACTGTCTTTTTAAAAACTTTATAATATGCCAAGAAGGGATTTTCATTCTTTCATTGTTTTATTCATCCCACAAAATACATAGAATTACTATTATTGGAGCATAGGCGCTATGGGGAGGCATAAGATTTAAGAGATCATCTAAGAAATAACATGAAATAGTATATACTTACATTTAAAATTAGTGACACAAATAGAAACACTATGAATGCAAGGAGAGAAAGACCAGAAGAAGGTCCGTGGAAACAGTGAGAACTGAGAGGGGACATTCGGTCACAATGATGCCAAACAATGTTTCTGTTTACTGGGACAATACAGGCCACATATAAAAAATTAAAACACAGAAGTAAAGTACTATTGTATCTTTGTGACAAGAGTAGTCCCTTTAAGAAGGTAACTTTTTAATAAAGATGTGTAAGGGTGGTACATCACAGAAGTATTTATTGGGACCCTCTTATACACAATGGCAATCTAACACCTAGGCATGGGGGTTGCTATGAAACTGGGGAGGGCCGAATATCCACAGGAAAGAAATAATTGAATATTAATTCAGAGGACAGTCTTTGAGGCAGGTGAAGTTGAGGTTTAAATCCTGGCTCCACAGTTCACCAGGACAAAACTCTCACCCTTGACACATGCACAGCTATGACTATGATGTAAGGCAGGCCATGTAAAGGGCAAGAAGGGGAAGAGCAAAGTACCGTGAGTGTTCAGTGGAGGAGGCAGTGGCATACTGAAGACAGAAGGCCTCAGGAAGAGGCATTGGATTTCAAAGCAACGGCCTGAAACTACACAGGAGCCCAGCAAGTCAAGACGGCTAAAGAGGAGGAGGGAACAGTAAAGGCAAGGCTGCAGTAGAGAAAGTCTCAGCCAGCTTGGACAAAGAGGCTGTGCTAACCTGAGCACACATAAACCCATAGCCTAAGACAGCCCTGGAGCAGAGGCCATGTAAGAGGTCCACGACCTCTGGATAAAAAATAGGCTGACCTTTGCGGGATCGCCCCACATCCAGTCTGAGGAATTGGGGCATCGTTGCTCCTGCTGGAATGCCACTGAAGGGCTAAGGTCCAAGGAGTGCCTGGATGTGATACAGGCTGTGAACTCAGACTTTCCTGATGCCAGGAAGAAAGGTGGATGGGGAGGCCTGACTGATAGCAGAAACACAGCCAGGGGATAAGGGTGGCCTGGATTAGGAACAGAAGCAGTGGGAAAGGACAGGAGGAGGCAAAGGGAATAATATTCCAGGACGAAAACTAACAATACAGGGTGAGTATCCCTTAGATAAAATGCTTGGGACCAGAAGTATTTCAAATTTCAGCTATTTTCAGATGTTGGAATACTTGCATATACATAATGAGATATCTTGGGGAGATAACCTAAGTCTGAACATGAAATTTATTTATGATTATGATTCATACATAGCCATTAGTTTTACCTAATATTTTAAATCATTTTATGCATCAAAGTTCATGAAATTGAGCTATCAGAAAGCAAAGGTGTCACTATCTCAGCCACTCATGTGGACAATCTGTGAACGTTTGGCACTAAATAAATTGTGGTGTTTATGCACCAAATAAATTGTGCATAAACAGAAAATGCCAACACATTTAAAAAGGCAGCCCACCCAATGGGAGAAAATATTTGCAAATCATATATGTAATAAGTAATTAATATCTGGAATACATACAGAACACCTAAAAGTCAACGACAAAAAGTAAAAAATCCCAACTTAAAAATGGGTAAAGGTATCCACAGTGGACTGAATAAAGAAAATGTGGTACATACACACCATGTATAAATACTACTCAGCCACGAAAAGAACAAAATCATGTCCTTTGCGACCACATGGATATAGCTGGAGGCCACTGTCTGAAGTGAATGCAGGAACAGAAAACCAAATACCACATGTTCTCAGCATCCAATTCAAACTCTGCACTAATCAGAACATTACGAGCTGTCACCCAAACAATTTAATACGAAGTTACCCTAGCCATCATCCTATTATCCTATTATCAGTTCTACTCATAAGCAGATATTATCGGTTCTACTAATAAGTGGCTCACTCAATTTATATATACTTATTACAACGGTTCTACCAATAAGCGGCTATGATCAGTTCAACTTTTAAGCAGCTATTATCAGTTCTACTAATAAGCAGCTTTACTCAATTTATATATACTTATCACAACACAAGAACCCCTCTGACTACTCTTACCACTTGTTTACTCACTTATAAGTAGGAGTAAACATTGAGTACACATGGACATAAAGATGGGAACAACAGACACTAGGGACTACTAGGAGGGGGAGGGTTGTGGGGGTGAGGGTTGAAAACTACCTACCAGGCATCATGCTCACTGCCTGGGTAATGGGATCATTAACACACCAAACCTTGGCAACACACAACTTACCCATATAACAAATCTGCACTTGTACCCCGGGACCTAAAAGTTGAAAAAAGGCTTTAAAAAATAAACTTTCTGTATGGCAACCCCTGGGGGGAAAAATGGGCAATGGAAATTAATAGATATTTTTTGAAGCCAAAAAAAAAACATGAAAAGATGCTACCATCCTTAGAAAAATGCAAACCAAAACTACAATTAAATACCACTTCACACCTGTTAGGATGGCTGCTAAAAATACAAAAATTAGCCAGGCGTGATGGTGTGCACCTGTAATCCCACCTACTCAGAAGGCTGAGGCAGGAGAATCGCTTGAAACCGGGAGTCAGAGGTTGCAGTGAGCTGAGATCACATCACTGCACTCCAGCCTGGGTGACAGAGTGACACTCTGTCTCAAAAAATAATAATAATAAATAAATTAAAAGTAGAATTACTATATGACTTGTAGTTCCACTTCTGGGTATATATACACCCCAAAGAATTGAAAGATGTGTATCAAAGAGATATTGTACACGTTTATAGCAATACTATTTGCAATAGCTAAAAAGTAGAAGCAATCCAAGTGTCCATTGACAGATGAATGAATAAACAAAACATAGTATATACGTATAAAGGAATATTATTCAGCCCTAAAAAGGAAGGAAATTCTGACAGATACTACAACATGGATGAATTTTGATGACATTATCCTAAGTAAAATACACCAGCCACAAAAAAACAAGTACTGTATGATTCTATTTGTATGAGGTATTTAGAGTAGTTAACATCAAAGAAACAGACCAATTAGAATTGTGGTTGTCAAGGGATTGGGGGAGGGACGAATGAGTAGTTACTGTTTAATGGATGCAGAGTTTCAGCTTTGCAAGATGAAGAGCGTTCTGGAGATGGTTGCTGGTGATAGTTGTGTTCATTATGAATGTATTTAATACCACTGAACTGTGTGCTTAAAAATGGTTAAGATGGTGAGTTTTATGTTGTATGTATTTTACCAAAATAAAAATAAATTAGGGGAAAAGGCATATGGAGGAAATTAACTTTAGTACCTGAAATGAGGTATATTTATTTTTACTATTCACCAAAACTAGAAATAACTATTTTTATGTTTGGCAGAAAAAAATCCTGATTTCCTCTAAAGGCTCTCTCTCTCTTTCTCTGATATTTTTCTAAAAAATTGCATAGAGAAATATATATCATGACATAATTTAAAAATGCTTCTAAAAATCCTTATTGCAAGTTGTAGATGATTCACTACAATGAAAACCAATTTCATAGTAGTAAAATTTTGATAACTAAGAGAAAATATCTTCCTCTTTATAAATATGTATTACTTATAAAATAAACATTGTAAAAGAAATAAAGTTGTATTTTGGAGGTGTACTGGAGAGACGAGTGGAGCACAGATGAGTAGTTTAAATGAGATTATATAAATTTGAAATATATTATCTATATGAAATTATATAAATTCAAAGAAATATTGTTAACAGCTGGGTGCAGTGGCTCCACGCCTATAATCCCAGCACTTCAGGAGGCCAAGGCAGGCAGATCATGAGGTCAGGAGTTTGAGACAAGCCTGGCCAATATGGTGAAACCCCATCTCTACTAAAAATACAAAAATTAACTGGGTGTGGTGGCAGACACCTGTAGTCACAGGTACTGGGGAGGCTGAGGCAGAAGAATCACTTGAACCTGGGAGGCAGAGGTTGCAGTGAGTTGAGATCATGCTACTGCACTCCAGCCTGGGCGACAGAACAAGACTCTGTCTCAAAAAAAAAAAAAAAAAAAAAGAAATATTGTTAACAAGTTGGCACTTCTTAAAGAAATACAGGGGCTAGGCGTGGTAGCTCAGGC